AGAGAAACTATGATCCTGGGTTTTGTTCTTTAGTACATTTATCTTGTCTAACATTGCTCACATGTAAGATTTCCCTCTCAGACTCCACAAAAGAAAAGCTTTCCAATCTGGACTTAAAACCTATCTCTGGATTCTTAAGGCAAAAAAAGAAAACAATGCAGTGTCAGGGTATGAATACTACACTTACCCCTTACCACTTGCCATTCATTTCTCTGTCATGGCCCTATACTGCCAGACCTTGACAAAGGGACTATCTATTCCCCCGCCTCCCCCCCACAGCCTGCAATATATAATACAAGAGCACTTCATATTAAGTACGTTCCAGATAAACAACATGCACCAGTGAAATACTGAGCACATTTTTCCTGCACACTGTCTTGGTCTGATAGCTATCTTCCATGCTACTGTTTCCACAGAACCATTCCCAAATGCCTTGAACTCTTACCTGGTATTTCTGATACTGCCTTTGATCTTGCTGTGTTTCTACTTCTCCAAGCATGACATGAAAGCAACATTCCTATATTCTTTTACATTTGAAATGGGCTGTATTTCAAAGCTCTGATATCATCAGGTCAACTTCATATCATCTCCAGTGAAATATATCTGCTCAGCAGATGTGAAACAGATCTTTTGTTTCACTACTCAGTTTAAAGCCAACTACATAAATAATTAAATAAGATGGCATGTTGTAATGATGCCCAGGTATTTGTCTGCACATCTGTAAAAGCGAGAACCCTGTCACTAACCTTCTGCTTCAGAATGATGCCGAAAGATTGACTTTCCTCAGTAACAGCTTTAGTGCACACTGCTACTACAGCCAGACATGGGAAATACAGAAATGGACACCAAAAAGGGAGCTTCACATTTACATTTCATCCCTGAAGCCATTTGCGCAGCTTTCTATGTAGATAGCCTTGCCACTGGTAAGACAGACCCAGCAGGGCCAGTCAGAGTGGGAAAGTGGCACCAATTAATCTGTCAACCAGCTCTGTAGATGGAAAGGCTTGATTTTGCACCCCTCTGCTGATAAGTGAGAGCATAAGTGCAGGAATCCCAACTTGACACCCTGAAAAAGCTTGACAGCAGTGATATGCAAGGGCTCAAGAATCACACTGAAAGGACTTGACTTGCCAGGACCCACTTCTTTTTCTGCTTCTGATTTATATTTTACTGGGGTTTGTATTTTCAAAAATCAAGAGGGGAAATTAAGAGAAATGGCAGGAGCATGATGATAAGGAAATGCAAAAGGAAAGCGAGATCAGGTCAGAGGAAGGAGAGAAACATCGAGTTTCCAGCTGTTACTCCGAATTTTCTCAGACTTCACTGAGCTTTATCACTTTGATGACTTAAAATTCAGCTCTTAAAAAAAAAAAAAACAAACAAAAAAAAAACAAGCCCAAAAAAAACACCAAACAACTTAGGAAGGCCTAATCAAGGAAGAGGTAAAATACACTCTTGTCTCCATTTCCCCTGCAATCACTAGACTACAAGGCCTGCCTTCTGCTATATTAGCTGTCTAGCTGCATGAAATTGCCCCAATATGGGCACATATTTTAGTCATTGTCAAAGCAGCGGAAAACACATTTTCTGGAGACTCTGTCTCCACAGAGAATCGGCCATTGCAATAAGGTAGGCACCAGCCTTAACCCAATAGCACCTCTTTGGAGCAAAGTCCATGACACCAGTCACCCGAGTACACTTCCCACCAAATCCCAAATTCTGTATTTTAATTCCCACTTTTCCCAGAAGCTGAAGGAAAGATGATGAAATTTAATGTTTCAAAGATGCCACAGTTCAGATCCTCCTGGTATAAGAGCGATTGGCATCAGGATGAACTTCTAAGTGTATTACAGGTTTTAATATACCAATGTTGGGATGCTAGGAAAGGAAACAGCAATCTACTCTTCTCTAGCATTTACCATTATTTAATTAACTTATGTTTAATCTTAATGTGTGCCTCTGCAAGTTGGTCCAGATGTTCTGTGTGCTAATCCTAAATACCATCTCTTATTTCTCTCCAATATTTGGAAAGTATCAGGGAATAAAAGTTATGAGGAGCCCCAGTGCTTCACTGCTGCAAAATTCATTTACATAAGGCTTACTATACTTATTCCTCAGGTGTTGAAGCTTCATTGAAATAAAACAGATACAGTAACAAAGGTAAAACTTACAGTCATATTCACTGGTGCTTTTTGATTCAACTCTATAAATATTTACTCAGCACAATTCTTTAGAAGATTAACTTTGAAAGTAGTTCAAGTTCAAATCCCTTTTTCATTACTATGCTAAAAGAATATTCCCCATATACCACACATCCAAGCAGAAAGTATAGGTAAATATTAAACTTGTCCAGAGCATTGGGAAACAAATCATAAACATACCATATGCACAGGCAACAGTGCAGGAGTGCTGGGCACTCAACTACCGTCCTCTCAAGTTGAAGGATTTATTCCCTCATGGAGCTTCTCTTTGATGAGCATCACTCCATACCACAAATTGATCAGTGCTCCCAAGCCTCACAGCAGAAATACAAAACAACTCAGTTTTCTTTGTGTGAAGCTATGAAGGGAATTAGAGAACTCTTCTCTCTCTCCCCTGCATCCCCAGGATACCAGAATTTGTGTCTCCAGTTTCCAGACAATTTGGCTAGTTTTATACAGTTTTGGAACAGAAGTTCCTTAAGGCCACTGCTAAAGCAAACTCAATGGAGAAGTAAAACCAAACTGAGCAATTCCCACTGCTGCAAGTCTACAAGATTTCTTTTGTCACTTTACCTACTTTAAGCCTTAAACATTCTCCATACTTCTATGCAGCACGGGCACAGAGGGGTAACGTACACACAGGGCTGAAGCTTGTTGCACATTTTTCGGTGGCTAGGTGTTAGATGGAACTGACTCCCACCCTTGGTCAAGAACATCACGAGACACAAAAGCTCATTTGCCTCAGTACAGTATGCAGAAAGAACTCAACACAGACTAATACAGTGAAGACAACATCTGACTTCATATTCTCAGAGCAGACTTGCTTTTTATATATGATACAGTGATATCTGTAGCTAATAAAATTCCTCCCTATGGTAAGATGATTGAGCTACCTCAGGCTGGAGGTCCTGGAGGCCTTCACCTGTCTTCAGCCTCCTCTGCAGCTGCTCACATGGGAAGGCATAATTTACCCATATAACATTTGATACAGACCTTAATTTACTTGTCAGACTATGGTAAATGAAGCAAAGACACACAGTGCTACAATGGGCAAGAAGCAAGACTTTCAAAACTAATTTTGAAATGGAGAAAAATATCCTAAAAGGCAATCATGAAGCTGTTAGGCATTTTCTGAACAATTCCCATGCTGAGTAAGAAAAGCACTAGAAAAATTCTTTAAATTATTTATTTCTTTTCCGCAATAATTATTATAATTGTTCTCTCCAACAACACCTAAATTTCTTACTAAAAACATGAGTTATAAACAGCCCAAGTCAAATTAAGGACTATTTCATAAAGTAAAATATGAACCAAAACTTAAATAGTTATGTGCTAAATATGTCTCAGAGCTGTGAAAGTGGCTTCTACACTAGGATGAGAACACACCTGTAAAATCTCAGGAACACGGATTTAAATTTGGCTAAAAATCTGGTGAAATAATTGGAACACAGTCAAGATATGTATGCTTAAATTTTATGATAAAATCAACTCCTTATGTTATTTCACAAATCTAGCATACTGTATATCATTCAATCATCCTTCTCTCAGTCATTACAGCAAAACACTGCCATTATTTTGATGACATATTTTAACTCTCCCGCAGTAAACAGACAAATCTGTGTTGAAAGCATAATAGCCAACAGCTAATTCAGCAATAGGTAGCACAGGAAAAATAGAACAAGTTAGTGGAGAATGTTTGTTCTCTAAAAGCCTAATATCCTGCATAAAAGATGATGAGACCCTCAGGGATCAGCTATACACACACTAACCATGATATGATTCACTGAATATTAAAACATTAATATGTCCTGTAACCAATGTAACTAGCTGCCTAGTTCTAAATGTTCTAACTTGCTTATCTGTTAACCTCATTCAAGTCTACTTAATTGTAAAACGAAATTGTAAAACAAAACAGAAAACCTAATATATGCACAGACACATATAAATAAAACTGATGAACAATGTGGAAATTGCTGTACCAAGTGACCACTTGGAACAAGAGATTGGTCACTTGAGTAATTTCCTTGTGTGTTTAACAGGCAACAGCACACAGTAAGAAACCCTTCCTGATCCTTCTTAGACTCAAGACCACATCCTGAAGCACAAGAACTATTTATGCAGGCTGAAATGCAACGTATTAATGTTCATAATAGTATTCAGCCCTCTTTAAAACCCAGTTTCACTACTTAACATCTTCAGGCAATTAGTTTTTCACAACACATTTAGCTACATTTAAATATTATTAAATCAACCTGATTAATTTTATAATTTAATCAGCATTGTAGGGCAAAATTATGTCCTTTCTTTCCAAAAATCAGTGCAAGCTAATTTCAGTTCCATCTACAGCCTTTACAATTTTGAAGCAACAGCTGTAATTCTTGCCTAATTTATCTGTCTATAGAGTTCTTCCCCATTCTATTAAATGAACTTTTGATTTAATTCTAGCCCCAAATTCAAGTTTTATATTTATAAGAACTAGTTGAAAAGTTTCCATGAATACAAAGCAGCTTTCAATAAGGACATTTGTGGAGAAGGAATGAACTTTGTCCCTGACATGTTATATCCAAGGCTTCAACTGTACTGAAGCCTTCAGATTTCCTTTTGCAAACATTAAAAGATCCAAGTGAACTAACTTAATCTGAGAAAGGAAACAAAATTTTTAAGTTGTTAAACATGGAAAAAGGGAAAAAAAATTAAAAAAAAAATAATCACTCCTTTCACCTCAATCAATGCAGATGAGTTTTTAAGAGATGACTTGAGGAGTAAGCAACAGTAAGACTCAAATTTAGTTCCTCTTACCTCAATAATATATAAAACCACATTCTTGTAGAAGCAATACAGTATACACTTGGTTACTCGATTGTAACTCCAAGCTCCATGGACCAACAACAGCTTCTCCAAGTAGGAAAACTGGAAGAGAGAAAACAGGTTTCTACATATATGAAGAACTCTTAAAAAAAATTCCTAAAGTAAACCTCAGCCCTCAGAAAAAAACCTCCTATCAGCTATGAGAGCTGTTCTTCAAGCACAATATTTAAATAGCTTCACAGAACATACAGGCAAAAACCAACAATATTTACAGGAAAAGCCTTTTTTGTAATAGAACCTCTGAATGTTTTTAACTGGTCTTCACTGGCTTTAAACATCAAGAAGTCTTCAATTAGTATTACTATCCTGATAGCAAAATCAAGCAAAGTTAACATAATATAGCCCTGTGTATTGAATATAAATGTGAACTCTCAAGTTCATGGTCAAAGAAGATTCCTGTGTTTGAGAGCTTGCAAGGTTCACTGTGTTAAATGTACAGTCTGGTAATTAGAACTGTCGAGCAGAAATAAAATGCACAAGGGTGGAACACAAGTGGAAAAATATATGCATAGAGTCTTTCACAGAGAATGCTTACATTAACATTTTCAGCCCACAAAATGTATGCAATCATGTGTTATACAAAGCACCTAAAATACTGTATAAAGAAAAAAGGAGCATTTGCCAAAAAGAGCAAGTAAATGAATCTTGTAAAAATGGATACCTTTAAATGCTAGTCTGAACCACAGCTACAGCTTCTCAGTTCACCAGTTTTGAGAATGGACTTTTACAGAAGTAGTCTCACAATGCAGCCTAGGAAACGTATAATTTTCTAGTCTTGGCTTTGTCAGTGAACTTTTTTGTGGCCTGCAGCATTCCTTTTTTGTCCAGTCACAGACAGCTTAAACTGGTGACTAGATTTACCATTCAGCATGTGTGTACCTATAGGGTTCTTGGACACTCAGGTGTGACCATTATCTCCTTTCCTTCCTTTTCCACAAAGTGACTTGACTGATAGGCAGAGCTTGACTTCTAAAGTTTAGATTCTAGATAATTTATTTTAACCAAAACTTACTTGAAATTGAAAGCTACAGTAATGAATTAGGACTATCATGAGATAGCTCTGCTCTCATGATTTGCGGCACTGAAATCACTGAATCACAAATCCTGTAAGAACAGCCTCTCTCCCATGCATCAGCAACTCAGATTTGTCAGGGTATGCCAGCAAGAAAGGAGAAAATAGAAGTGAACCATGCTTCATGGTTCAGTCTCTGCCCAACTTGGTCAGGACTGGAAGTGGGACACTCACAAAAGAGCAGCTGACCTACCAGACACCCAATGCCTCAGTTAATATGCAGCACAGCTATAACTTTCCTCATCAAAATTCCCTGACAAAACACATCAGCAGTCCTAACAAGTCACCCCAAACACCTCTTGTAGAGAGTAGCTAGACACACCCTGAAAACTTCTCTCTGTGCTGAGTCTGTGTCACCATCTCAGATGTGGTCTTCTCTAGAGCTCAAGGCAAGGACAAATCCTACCATTAACTGCTCTCTTAACTGTGCTCTCATGAAAGTGAGTGCACTGCATAACAAAGCAAGGAAGATATTTGTAACCTAAATAATAGAGGTCTGTGCCTGTTCACACTGGAGACATGTCCTTTTGAGATGCAGCGTGGAATTAAGTTTGTTTTGATGCTGGTCACTGCAATTAGGCAATGCACAGCTAGTGGCATACCTGAGCAACTGCAGGGATAGGACTCTACCACACTGCCCTTGTTTGGACACTACTGTATTTATGGAGTTTTAAATCTGAAGGGAACATTACAAGAACCTGGCCAGCCTACCTGCAAAACAGATTCTGTAAGTTTTCACAGTTGCCTCTGTATCAACCCTAGCATAACTTTTTTTTATTACAGAGATTATCTTTTAAAAAAGATACCCTCCACCTTGACTAAAGGATGACATGATGCCATGTTGGGGTGTTAGGACAGTGAAGATGCATTCAAAATGCAAGCCGAATTTCCCAAAGAAGAACAATGAAGCATAAAAATTTGTTTAAGAAGTTTCCCTAGTTAGGAAACAGTCCCTAGACACCAGATGCTCTCTGGGTTAAGATAATAAAGTCTTTTACTGAGAGAAAAAGTGATTCAATTCTCCTACTGTCTCCCTAAACAGGTCATTAGATTATTATCATTATATTAGAGAATTCTCTAAATATAGATCACTAGTAAAATATCATTTCAAGGGAAAAGGATGATTCAAACAGATGCTCCTTACACCTGTGGAAGTTATTTGAAGTAGAGGAAGACAAAAGTTGCCCTTTTATTTTTGTTTAGTTTATGCTTTGATTTCCCCTGGAATCCTCAACAAGTCTATATAGAGACTTTCTCTTCCCTAAGCGCCTACTTCTGGCACCACTGCATTTGAAATACTATTTGAACATGAGATGCTACATTGTAGTGGTTGTCTTAAATTACTCAAGAACATACTCTGACTTCAAGTCATGTGCATACAGTAATGCTTTAGCGGTAGTTATATATCTCCACTGAAAGAAATACACCTCATGGGGATCAAGTTTTTCTTTTGAATACTTTTTTTGAAACACATATTACCATACAGTATTAGTCTCCTTTACAAGAGGGATTTCTTCGTATGTTTTCCAATCAGCACAAAGCTCTTCTACTCAATCACAAAAAAAATGCAGTTCCACAGTGTTTGACTAATTTTGGAAAGTTAAAATTCTGTGATGGTGTGATCAACTTTTATTTCATATTGAATTAAGATTCATTGCTATTGTTGGTAACTCCCTAACTGGAATTTAAACCAAGAGCAACTCACTTCCACATTCTAACACTGAATTCAGAGACAGGGGTTTTAGTTAATGCAGAAGCAACACAAACATGGAATTACTTCTTCTGGTTTAATGTTACTGATATTAACAGGAATTAAGTGCGTAGGGTCCTCTATTGACAAAACTCTCACTGCTTATGCTTACTTATTAAAATGGAAGTAATAAGTGATCTGAGGAAGTCTAAGTAAAGAGCATTCAATTAAGTTATACAGCAGAAGCAATAGTGAGTCTATAGAAATTAATGAGGAAGACATTACAAGATACCACAGACTTTATGATTATGGCAGTTCCTATAAAACTATGTATTTGGAATATGGTACTGTTTATGACAGAATAAGCTCTCAATAAAACAGCCTAAAATTTTGAAGATAAATTTGGTGAAAGGTCTCAGTTATTCAAGCCTGAAACCAAGTGCTTCACCCAACCACAGAACAGAGCAGCAATACAAGACTGCCACTTTGCTTCACAGCAGGGTGAACACAATAAACAGTTATCTGTGCAAACAGCAGCATTACCCATGCCTTTTCAAAACCTCACTCTCTACTGGAACTATCAAAAGATAGTAATATTTCATATCACTTGGTAGAGCAAATCTACCTACACCCTGCCAGAAGGGAACCTCAGGTGATGCTCACAGAACAGAGGAAACGCTGGATCATCTCTCCTGTCAGCTCCATCTGTTCTTGCCTGTGACCAGTCTCAAACACACAGAGCACCTCAGCTGTAAATACCATTCAGAAGATGTCCAGCAACTGAAGCACCTCCTTTCTTATATTTCTTTAAGTCTTTATTCTACATCTTGGTTTCTTCAGTAAAACAGAAAAGGGTTTTTACTGTCCTCTTTAGCTGAAGTAATCATTGCTGAATTTGATGGGATAAGATTGTGAGCACTCACTCAACATGCAACATAACATATCTAAAATGAAAACACTGGACAGCTCTCTAGAACTGTGACAAATTCTTGGATACCTTATGGGAGTCGGGAGAATACAAATGAAGGAAACATCTCAAAATAAGAATTTCTGAACAGCCAAACTCACACACCTGGTTGTAATGTGTACTCATAATAACAAAAAAGAGCTTGCATGAACAGACATTACACTCAAAAGCATGTTAACATAAGCATCACAAAGTGCTTCTCCCCGATTACTGAAGAACCAAGACATTGCACAGCTGTCAGGAGGAATGAAGGGAGGTGGAATTTTGCCCTGAAGAGTACAAAATCATAATAATGAATCCCCAAAATACATCCCAACAGCTGCTTCAGACAGCTGCCTTGAAAAGGAAACGAGCAGAGATGCTCCTGGCTTGAAGGCTAAGAGAAGCCATCAAGCACTACCCAGCCGCACAACGCACTGCTGACAACAGAACATGGCAGTTGTTCTTTTTGCCTCTGACCTGTGCAATAGCATAATCCGAGCAATTGGTTGCCTGCATGCCCTCATTGCCACTGATCCCCACTCCAACGTGAGCTGTCTGGATCATTCCTACATCATTGGCACCATCCCCAATGGCAAGTGTTATGGCATTGACGTGTTTCTTGACCATGTCTACTATTTCAGACTTCTGTAGAGGAGATACTCTGAAAAGGAGAGAAAAAGGTGTCAGTTTCTCACATGCTGAGCTATGTGCCTTTCTCAAAAGGACAGCTGTAATCTACATTTAGAAGTAATCAAAGGGCAGTTGCTGGGAAGTTTCTTTATTCAACAACTACGCTTCAGAACCTGTGCCAGACTATTTCAGAAGGAGAAAGTAGCTTTAAAAATAGTTTCACATTTATCTACTTGCTCATATTTATGAAAGATACCAAATAGATAGGAAAGATGTTAAAGCTTTGTTTTCCTTCCCCAGCCCCACCTGATACACTTTGGCATACACCAGTGATGTTATATTAGGAACAATGGAGAAGGGATTTTCCTCTTCAACTACGACGGTTTACAGATAAACACCTCAGGCTTCCCTGTCTGTCAAGAATGCATCTCCATCCAGGAGAAGACCGACCACTAATACAACTACAGAGTAAACCCAGAGACATTTTCAATGGTTTGGCAAAAGGTACTGCAGGCTTACCTTACTCTCCTCCAGCTTTACTTCCCCACTTGCCAGGACATCTTTCAAATCTCAGACTAAACAGTTAGGATCGGAAAGAATAAAGCCTTTGCCTGATCTCAGATATGCCTTGCATGCTGGTGAAACTCTGATTTCAGTGATGATCTTATTGAGTCCCAATTCAAAACCAAAACACTGACTCCATGACATCTGAATATTCTTATCACTTATTGGTAGTTACTTTAACCTGATCCTTCTCTCATTTTACATCAGTTCCAGTTCAATAAAAATTCATGGAATTCAATAGAGTTCAACTAGTCTAAACCTGGCAGAGTGGAAAAATACTCATGAGTAGGTTACTAAATTGGATAAGACACCCAAAATGCCCTTTTTTCATGGAAAAGGTGGATCAAGTTACCAAATCATATGAGGTATTCTGGAAATACCTACATGTAGATTAAATATTTCCATTCTAACCCCATCTGTACAAACAACCCAAAATCCTTTCCCCATCAGTTTTACTTAAAGTTCCAAATTATTTTATACTGCCTTAAATAAAGCTTTAGACAAAACTTTTCCACATCTCAAATATGCCACATAACACTCAACTGAAATAATGTAACTGATAGCAAAAAGCTTTACTATTAAAATAGGGGGAGAATGGGGGAGACAGACTTTTTACATGGCATTTTTTCCAGAATCTACATCCTGTGGGAGCAACTTACATAGCCTTTTAATACACCCGGCTGGATTAATGCTGATCAAAAAAAAGCAGAATTATCTTGTTCAGCATTTTGCTTTATGGCCTTGATTTTGTTTAGTGCTGATCACCTCTTAAAATAACTTGATGAGTAATTGGGGGAGAAAGAGTTCCTAAGAAAAATTTGCTGGACTCAAAATTCACATGTGAAATAAACCACCTGAAAAGTCTAGCAGCTGTCCTGTTAATAAAAGCTGAAAACAGGAAAAAGTTGACTGGCCATAACATTTATTTAATACCACTTGATAGATTTATTAAGCACTCAACTACCCAGCAATGAAAACACCACTTGGCACTGTAGGGCCCCAGTTAAATTACCAACACAAAACCCCAACACAACCAACCTATGGTGCATCAAAGATGTCAGCTTGTAATTACAAAGCAGATCTGAATATAGGCTGCATCAAATTTTAGCTTCTCTCATACATACACCCTCTTCTCTTTGCCCTGCCTCCTAATATTCACATAATAAAATACTAAAGCACAGAATAAGGAATGAGCAAGAACTTCAAGCCATAAAATGGGAACTCCAGAGGAACCTGAAGCCAGTTCTGGAGGAATGGGACTGACAAGTGCACAGACCCCCATTACCAGCCCCAGGGGCACCTCCAGCACACAGGACCATACACTTTTGGCATTCCCCTCATGCAATTACTTCACTGCAGCTGAGCACTATGCATATCTGCTAACATCCTCCTCAGTCATACACATCTCTCAGGAGTCCAGTCTGCATTCATCTAGTTTTTCAGTTACATGGCAGTAGAAATAGCCAAGAAGTTCCAGGTTTCAAATACGCTTAAAGTAACAGGGGAATGAAACAAGACAGACTGTGAACAGCATCTCTGATTCCGTAATTTCAACTAGCAGCTTGTCTACAGACATTTCACACATGATCAGAATATGGCAGAGATGCTCGAACTTGTTCTAGTGCAGTTTAGCTGCAACATGTCAGACAAGCTAATACATCCTGTATTCGCTTCTGTGCCTGCAGTATAGGTGTGGCTTCAGATTTTAAATCAATTTTACCATTAATGACTTATTATTGGTTAAATCAATGAAATGCCTCAATATAAACGCTTCTATCAACTACTACATAATGTACATATAGTATACTTTTAATTTCATGACAAAAGTTAATTAAACCCACCATTATAGAACGCCTAGTTAAAGACTAACATCTTTATATGCCTAGTATGGCTAAATGAGCTACCGGAAACACTAGAGACATAAACACAAAAGAAATATTTCTGCACTTGGTTTAAGATTATTAAATTTATCAGTACAAGGTGCTACATGATGATAGTTGTTTAGAATAAACACAAGCTTTATAGGAAGCATTCTCTTTGACACACCCCCCCTCCCCCCCTCAAGTACAGCCCCAAACTCCAGAGAACACGTTTTGCTGTACGTGTTACATTAACTACAGAAGTTGCAAATTGAGATGCCTCGTAAATTCCTGAGGGGTTTTACTTCCCTCTGCTCTTCCAACAATCTCTCTCAGCTTCCAAACATCCTCTGTTTCATGTAATCTATTTGGTACCAACACACTGCATTAACTGACATTAATCCCCTTAGCCAGATGATCAGAGCTGCAGTTCATTTCTGCACATTTGATAGGCTGTCTACATGAATAACTGGAAGATTACAGCATAGAACACTATTAACCTGCATCTTCCCCCAGGTGATATCTTGGAAGGGCAGGAGGAATACCCAAGTTCACAAAGATTCCTGGACAAATGCATCAGTTCAAAGTAAAAAGCACAAGCACAAGAACTGCCAACTTCAGGGAAAATTTTTGCAGTGACAGACAACTATTGGTGATTATCATTCGGTGGAACTTCTCTGGCTTTCACTGCAGAGCTCACTTCAGCAATATCAATATTTAAGTCTTGCCTTGACATACACCCAAATAAGAATTAAGATGTGAGCAAAACATTAGTTGCATCAAAATCTTCTGATTACTCATGTATTCATTCACTGGTCAAACAGCAATGCTTCTTTATAAAAATTTTTAGAGTAGAACTCAAAAGAGTTCATTTTTTTTAAATACATAAATTCTTTACTGTCTCTGCTCAAAAGCATCTTTGACAACAGATACAATCAACTTAGTCTAGAATGAATCTCTTTTTAGGCATACTCCTGGGGAAAAAAAAAAGAGTCAGGTTTCAAATGCCACAATTATAGCTACTGGATCAAATCTTCAGATTCTTGCTCAAACTGCTTCCTTGATAATCTGAATTTAACCTGCTCAGGCAGCAGAGAGTCTAGGGTCAGGACTGTAGCTTTACAAAGTGTTTAGCATTCAACATTTGGCTGTGCAATATGAAGTGATCAAGGATGATGGAAGGAATGCATAAAGTGTCAGCCATACAGCAGACCTGCTACTTGCCCACCTCTGGGAGTCCCTTGAAGTAGACTTGCTCTTGAGAGGCTAAAAGCCAATATGTAAAAATGAAGGTTCTACTCAGTCTCAAACCTGGTTAGTCTTTATCAGCATCTTTAACAGATTAATATAGAAAGCAGCTTCCATCCTGAATGAAAAGACCAATGCGTTGGTATCATATTGCTTTCCTCTGTCACAGGATGGGTGGAAGCAAGAAAAGGCACAAAGCACTATAGCTTGGGAAGAAGCTGAGACAGACATGCAGCCCAGAGCCAGGGACCCTCAGAAAGATATGGACCTAATTATCCTCAGGTCACTCAAAGTACTTACTGATAGTAACAATAAAGTAAGTAATTATCTGCAAACTACTCACTCCTGTCTCCTTCCATAGTTTCCTTATGGATTTAAGGTCCCGCTTGTACTTTGAGAAACCTCAAGAAAAAAACCTCACAAAGCAGTAGCCCAGCTGATTTCCACAGAGGATGTTGTAAATGGCTTCCTACTGACTTCTGCTGATCAGCTCCCAATGGCTTTAATCCTTCAGTCTGCATTTGCTTTTCCACTGGGTACACATATTTATGAGCAAACTTCCTACCTGATACATTTTTGTCTGTTCAGAAAAGTTCTACTCACATGGTTTAGGCTTAGGTAGTCCTGCAAGGAGTAGGGAGCTGGACTTTATGATCCTTATGGGTCCCTTTCAACTTGAGATATTCTATGATTCTACTCAGCACTTTGTTGAAAGGTTTGCTCAGGCTTGCTTTATTTCTTTAAGGAGAAAATTCAGACACAGATGGAGGATATTCCAGTTCAATTTTTTTTCATCAGGAGTACTTATGGGACAACCAAAGCAATTCACAAATTTGAATCAGCTGTCATCTTTCACTGAAAGATTTTATACACACCAAAAAAAAAAAAATCCAGTGAAGTGGTGATATTCTCAAAAATAATTATCAAACATTTTATTTAGAAACACACTTTGGTAGCAAAATTCTTAAAATCTCAAAGTAAAAGCAAAACATTTAAAAAATCCATTTTAACCAAGCAAAGCAATACAATAGAGCTTTAACTTCAATTTTCAATATACTGCAACTGATTTAAATCAATGAATTCCTCTACTGCACCTTTTGTAATCTGGCAAGGCAGTTATCTCTCTTATTCCCCGACTCCATCTAATATATCAAGATAGATGCAGTCACAAATGGGATGGGAAGGACACAATGAGCACAACTAGTCCTGTGAGACACAGGTCAGCTACACTGCACAAGATACTATCAGGGGGAAGTGAGAAACAGTTTCTTAGTTGTCCCTGGGCCTATCTGTATTTACTGCAGTTACAGATGCATGAGAGCAACTGACAGCTATTGTAAATAATACTTCTTACAAAGGC